CAAACGTGAGCTCAGGGTGGGTGGCAAGTCCCTCCCTGAAACCTCGCAGGCTGCTTCCTGATCCACATTTGAGACCAGGCTCCTCCCCAGACTGTGGGAAAGTGCAGTGCGGTAACTGCATGTGAAAACCTGGGGAGCGTCTGGCACAGAATGCATGCTGGGTGGGCGCCGGTTCCCATCCCCACTGTCCCTCTGCCAGCTCTTCCCGTGGCTGCTTCCTCTCCACCGTCTACAAGTGAAAACTGTACGCTCACATGCCGATACCGCCCTTTCCCCTCACTGGGCCTGTTTCTATCCAAAAAAGGAAACAGTCGCAAGAACACAGGACTGTTCTGAGGCTCAAACAAGGGAGAGGGAGTAGCTGCGATTGGTAATCCCACCTGCCCTCATGGCCGGCTCCCTGCCCACCTCCTCCATGCAGGCCCCCAGTGATCCTCCTCCTGCCTGGGCCCCTGACCTGACCCTGGGAATGACCACCCTGGCCTGTCAGACAGCTTTCGGCATCAGGGGCCTGGCCTCCCAGTATCACTGCAGGCTCCTTGAGGACAGCATCACCTCATTCATGACACTTCCCGAGCCCCCCTCTCCTGGGCATGGTGACACACACAGTCAAAGAAAACGAAGAGCTCTTCCAGCCTGGGGCCTGTGGGCCTCCCCGCCCCAGGGTGTCTTAACATTTAAGACTTACATGAACCCATCAGGCCCAACCCTCTCATATTTCATGAGCAAACGGCAGTCGCACAGTGACAGGGCTAGAGCTGGCGCCAGATGCTCCCCCCTCCCCAGCAGTGATGCGCTGCTTCCCTCCTCATCAGTGGCAGGAGAACGAGGATGCACTTCAAGACAGGTGGGAACCAAAAGGAAAGGGAAGTCAGGAGGTGGGCGCTCTGGCCGAGCCACGGAGCATGTTCCAGAGCCAGTCTCCACGACCTCGGGGACCCCGGGGGCAGACACAAGACGTCTCCCAGACACAACCGGATTCAACACTCAACATCCTGGGATCAAAGAGGCTATAAGAACGGATGACGACCAACAAGCGACAATGAGAAGGGTCCCCCTCAGAAGGCACAAGGGGCTCCCACTGCTGGCATCGCGGTGTGAACCAGCGTGAGGATGGACATAGCTGACATCCGTGCTGTGCAACACGAGAGCCACTAGCCATGCGGCTCCTGAGCTCGTGAAATGTGGCGACTGCCACCGGGGAACTGAATCTCTAATTTTATTTCATTTCAATTCATTAAACTTCAATACCCACCTGTGTCTAGAGGCTCCTGTATCAGACAGCACAGTCCTAACCTGTCACCCGAGCTCAAACGTCAGAAACAGAAAAAAGTTCTAGAAGTAGTGGAGTGCTGTGGGAAAAAAGCAGGATCCACTTATTACTACCTTTACCACCAGACGTCCCCTGCCCTGTGAACCCCAGTTCCCCACCAGAGGGGGCAGGGTGGACAAGGGACCCTGGGGCCACCTGCAAGTTCACTAAGACCTCCTAGACTTGGGCACTGGAAACCCAAGGGGCCCCGTGGTCCCCTGCAAGGCAAGGAGGGGCCTCTGCTAGACCTGACTACTCACCCCAGTCCCAGCACCGACCACCCTACAGCTGCCTGTCCCCCAGCGGACTGAGCGCTCACTGAGGGCAGGCACCAGATGGGACTCTGCTCTGCACCCCCGGCACCTAGGAAAGCGTCTGGGCACCGCGGGCGCTCAGGGAGTGAAAGCTGGCATCAACAGCACGAGCCTATCCTGTGCTTACGGTGCATCCGGGACGGGAAGAAGCCCTCGCCCATCATCTCACTCATCCTCACAGCCACCCGGCAAGGTGCTGAGGTGGTCTCTCCTATCCCCGAGGAAAGCCCAGCTCAGAGGGGTGATGTCATCTGTCCGGGGCCATCCAGCAGGTAAGTAGCACAGCTGTGTTCAAACCCAGGCCTTCCAGCTCCAAAGCCAGGCTCTGAATCTCTAAGCACCAGTGCCTCCTACAAATCCACTCCTGGTGGGGAGGAGAAGTGGGGGAGGGAAGGGACGGGAAGGGAAAGGAAGCGTGAACTGGGCCACCTGAAGTTCACGTGACTCAGACCAGTGACAAAAACCCTAAAATCCCGAAGTGCCCTGCGACTTCCATCCCAAAGCGCACAAGAGAAGGTGGGAGCCTCCCTCTGCCTTGAGGCCCGAGTCTGGCTGTCCTCCTCCGGAGGGGAAGGGGCAAGGCTGGCTGCGGACCAGGGGACCTGACTAGACTGACTGTCCTTCAGCAGCTGTGTGACTCTGAGCAAGTTCCTGCCTTCTCTGAGCCTCTGGATTAACATGGCAGAGCACCTGGCACACGGGACTCGCCAAGGGGCCGCTTCATTGTTCCTAGGGCATCCCAGGTCCCATCGCAAAGCGTGAATGGCCTGTGTTCAAAGTAACAGTCCCTCCAAGGATCCCAGAGCCAGAGTCGCCTCTGCAGCTATGCAATTTATGATGTGGATTTCACAGCAGGGGAAAAACGGGCTCAGAATCACCCAAGGGCGACGACTTGGGAGAACCCAGATCCTGCCCCCGCAGACCGCCCCTCCTGCTGCATCAGCTGCCGCTGGAGATGACTTCCAGGGCCCTCGTCCTCTGGTTGAGAGAAAACCTTTCGGGCAGATCTTTGGGACCAATTCTTCAGTCCCCTTCGTGATCATTTCGTGTAATGAACTTTACAGGCAGTGTGGGTTGGGGGAACGGGGGCTCTTCAGAAGCACTGGTTTCAGCTAGTGCAGGTCATCCTTCCTGAGAAAACTTCTCACCTATCCTGTCACCGTCCCACAAACTGGATGAGAAGGATGGACTGGGCCAAGGTCAAGAACCAGGAAGAAAGCAAAGAAGGAACAGAAGATACTGGCCTACACAAAACCCAGGACTCTGCTTCTCCTTTACTCCTGGGCTCGTGGTCAGCTCAAACAAGCCTCATACCGGGCACGTGAGCTTGAGCACGTCACTTCACCTCCCAGAGGCTCCGTGCCCGACCTGTGAAAGGGGAGACCACCTCTGATCAGAGAGCTCTGAAGCGAGTTTGCTGCGATGACGAACACACACAGAGCGACAAAGCACGGCAGGTAGTCAGCTGTGCAGTTACTACTGTCATTTGCTCCTGGCTTACATAGTTCTAACAAGGGAGTCTTCAGGTTGCCCAGCCCTCAGGTAGAAGGTAAAAGATAAAAGGAGCAGGCAGGGGGCAGACGGACAAACAACGAGGGCCTGGAAAGGCTATAAGGTCTGTGGAAAACATTTTTTAAGTTTTAAAAAGGAGGCTCCCTGGGGCTCTGTGCAAAGGGACCCCACACAAGGATCTCTGGCCACCGTTGGATTCTCCGTCACCAAAAGAAAGAGCCACATGTTTACTCTCCTTGTGAAAAACTCTAGGATATGTTTTTGTTTGTCTCTGAAAGATGCAAGTTACAAACAAGATGTGAGTTTTGGTTACCTAGAAAACTTCCTTAAACCTACACCTCATTCCCCATCGAGGTGCCCAGAAAGAACCCCAGCAGGCCCCCAGTGCAGGGCCCCTCTAAAGGATCCCCCAGAAGCCCCAAGTACATGCTTTTCAGCTAAGCTCTAAGCCTGGTCCTCCCCCAGGCTGCCAGCTACTTAACTTCTCACCCTCCATCTCCTTGCCATGAAATGGAGGGAGGACACAGAACCACAACCGCTCATCTGCAATTCCGAAATCCTCAAGAACACCCCAAACCAAGTTTCTCACAATTCATGTGGAGGCAAACCCTGCCCTAAACTAACATGAGACAATTTTTAGTCTTTATTGATCCCACTTAACGTGAGGGTTCAAAGTACAGCCCCACCACACCCAGCTGGGTGGGGGGGTGGTCTTACATGTAGGAATGGTATCTGTGGCTCTAAAATCTGACCAATTCTGAATCCCCATACCTCCTTCCTGTCCTTCTTCCCAAGGATGGCTCAGCAGCACCTCCAGACTTTTCCCCACCCTCCACTGACAGCCCCCTCTCCAACCTTCCTCGGAGGACCGGGCGTACTCCTCGGGTGTCTGGGACCCTGCACAGCTGGGACAGCCAAGTGTACAGCTCTTCCCGCAATCTACCACCCTGCTCCTCCAACACGACCTCCAGGCTGCCCCCCTCCACACCAGGCGTCAGACGCACTGCACTGTCTGGATTCAGGCGTCTCCCTGCCTCTCCAATTCAGCGGCAGCAATCGAAACCCGCAGGAACGATCAAACAGGAAAGCTGCTTCTTTTCCCTACGAACCTCAGAAGGCAGTACACGATAATGCCTTATATCAGGTCCCGGGCACAGACCAGCCTGGCTTTAAATCTCTGCTCTGCCACTCATCAGCTGTGTGACCTTGGGCAAGCAACTTCCCCTCTCTGAGCCTCAGTTCCTAGACTGTAAAGTGGGGATGATCACCTCTACCTTACACGGTTGTCATGAAAATGACATCAGTTAATGCTGGGAAATGTGAATGCCCTGGGTTCTGCCCGACACCAGGGTGATGGAGGCGGCCCTGAAACAAGGGAACACACCAGGCACGCATTCCGGGCACGGCCAGTCCCATCCCCCACCCGGTGCCCACGCAGGAAATGAGGGACGCACACAGCCCTGCTGCCCCTTTTATCCCCTTCCCCAGATCACCACCAGGACTCTGCACTCATCAAAGGCTGAACCGGGCCCAGGAACAGAGAGGTTAAGTGACTTTCCAAGGTCACACAGCCAGCTGGACAACGGGAGAGGAAGCAGGGAAGGGTGGTGGGCCTGGGCCTATCCTCCTGGCAGCTCCTGCCAAACCGGCTCCATCCCCACGGGACGCTAGCTGGCCATGGGCACCGGGGCCCACCTCCAAAGACTGGTTTCCCCAAACGCTGGCCGACCACCCCCCACCCCGCCCGGTCGGGTTCTGGGCACCGCGCCCTCGCCCTCCGCCCCCGACGGGAAGCCCCCGGCGCTGGCGCATCGTCTACGCGGGCGCGCCGCAGAGCCGGGCGGGGTCTGCCCGGGGCTCACCGGACTTAGGGTAGGTGACGATCCACACGTCGCTGGGCCGCACCGGGAAGTTGGCGATCTCCTCCATCTTCCCGCGGCAGAAGGGCGGTAGCCGCACGCCATGGAACTCGAAGTACTTGCTCTCGAACTCGCCCGGCGTGCTGGGGGTCTCGGCCTCGCTCTCCGCCATGCCGCCGCCGCCGCCGCCACAGCCCGGCCCCGCAGCCGCGCCGCCCGCTCCCGGCCCACGCCCCTCACCCGCGCCCTCACCCGCGCCCGCCACCCCCAGCCGCCGCGCGGCGCTCTGCAGGCGTGACGTCACGGCGCCGCCCGGCCCGCGCCCCGCCTCAACCGGCGCTGGCGAAGGCACTCCGTGGCCGTGACGTCACGACGCCGCGGCGCCCAAGCCGGCGTGGAAGCTGCGCTCCGCGGGTATGACGTCATGGCCCCGCCCGACGCGCGCCGGCTGCCCTCCGCAGACTCGCAGTAGTGGGGCCTCCGGGCCCGACCCGCCCCACACCCGGCAGCAGCCACCCACCCGCCCCGAAGGCCGACCAAGACCTCTGTCCGCCGTCCTCCTCCCAGCCGTCCGTCCACATCACCTCCATCACGCGTACATTCACTAACCTAGTGACTCCGTCATTCAGCAAGCGTTCAACACAGAAATACTCCAGCCAGAAGTGACCTTGAAGATTAATTCATTTATTCAACAAATATTTCGGGAACATCCGATCTGTACCAGACTCTGGTCGAGGTTCCCGACCAGTGAGACTGGCTCCTCTTGGAGCTTACATTTGTGAACAACCGAGATAATTTCAGATCGTGATGGGAGCTGTGAATAAGATGCTTCCCAATATCCTGAGGGCGGAAAGGGGGCTGTTAATTGCAGATTCCCAGGGCCAAGCCGCAGACCTCGGGATATCCAAGGCTCTTGGAATCGTGCCCCGCAAATCTGCATTTCAAAAGTACTTCTTATGCAGACCACATTTTGAGAACAAGAGGATTCTATAGAAGCTTTAGTACAACCTCTCAACCATTCACTCAAGAAACAGATGCAGGCATACCTCATTTTATTGTGTTTTGCAGATGTTCTGTTTTTTTACAAATTGAACGTTTATGACAACCCTGCATTGTCAAATGATGGTTAGCAATTTTTAGCAATAAAGTATTTGTTAATTAAGTCATGTACATTCTTTTTTTATAAGAAATTATGCTGTTGCACATTTAATAGACTACAGTACAGTGTAAACATAATTCGTGTGACTAGCTTTATGGCAGTATTCACCTCATTGCAGTGGTCTGGAACCATTCCTGCAATATCTCTGAGGTATGCCTGTATTAAGCACCTACTGTATGCTTAGGGGAACACAAAGATGAAAATGATAATGTCCTGGTCTAATTCTCTGAGGTTCAGTGTCCCTGGCTTTGAAAAGGGAACAATAATCTCTACCCCTAGGTACTGTAGTTGAGAGGACAGAGAAAACTACACCAGCAAGGATCCAGAGCAGAGCAGGTGGACAGGACCTACTTGCTCTCTCTCCTTCTTCCCCTGGACTGAGACACTTGCAGTCTGGCAAGGGAGCCACACACGTGGGCTGAGAGGCGTGGGCCACATGTACACGGTGGATGGAGAGAACAAGGAGAGCATTAACTCACCCGTGCCTCCTGCAGTGGAAGCGCAGAGCCCTAACCACTGGACCGCCAGGGAAGTCCCAAGGATGTCTTTACAAAAATGAAAGAGAAGATTCCAAGCACCAAGACATTGTTAAGAACAATTAGGTAATGGCACAAAGACAGGTAGCCAAAGGCTAGAGGAACTGAGTGAATGAATAAGCTGATGTTTCAGGTGACGTTCTCACTATGGAAGAGCAAGGGAGAACCCTTGCTCTTTTTAGATTGGGGTCTAAGGTATTGACATGAATTTATTATTTGAAAAACTATCTATTTCTTATCTGTGCTGAAAAGGTCTTTAGGTTCTGTATTCCAGCAATACTAGGCACAGTCAGTGTCCAAATCTTGGTTTCTAAATACTTCCCACCAAAAGGAACCAGGGTTTCTTGGAGAAAAGACTAATTCCACAGCTGGGCAAAGAAAGTGCAAGATGAGCCTAAAATATCTTTTGGGGCAAAAAAAAAATAAGAAGAAACTGTTAAAAATGCTGGGAATAGGTCAAAAGAACACAGGAGCTAGTTTGAAAGATCAAATGAGGAGCACTTTGCACATGTTAGACAAGAATTGGAAACAATTCAAATGTCCATCAACATTAGGCTGGTTAAATTGTGATGTATTCATACAATGGAATTCTTACTACATAGTGATTTAAAAAAAGAATTACTGGTATATGCAACAACACAGGTGAATTTCACAGTCAAAATGATGAGCGAAAGAAGCCAAACACAAAAGACAATATGTTCTATGATTCCATCCATATACAATTCAAGGACAAACAAAACTAATCTACGGTCAGAGGTCAGAAAAGTGTTTAATTTGGGGCAGCAGGAGGGGGTTGACTGGGAATAGACACAAGAGTACCCTCCAGAGTATTGGAAACATTATATCTCGCTCTCAGTGATGGCCACAAGGTGATATATGCATTAGTATAGATGAATATAGATGTGGATATAGATACAGATGCAGACACAGGGTCTGCTTCATGGTCATGCAACCAGGGGAGTCAGAAGGGCCCCGCACTTGGGGTTTAATGCTCTGTGTGTGGTCAGCACCTTAAAATTCTTAATAATTTTATCTTGGAACTTGTGCTTTATAAATGAAGTCTGATGATCAATGAGGCATGTGCTGAGGGCTTGGAGCCTTGGCTCATGGGAGGTCCCACCTCCTGCCACCTTCCAAGGTCTTGACTGCCCACTCCTCTGTTCTCTAGTGTCCCAACCCTGTGGCCATGGGGACTTGGGGCCAGCGCCAAGAGGGTCAGGTCTGTTGTTGACACCCCATGGCGTCTCAGAGTGGGGCATGACAGAAACCATCCCTGTCTTTCTCTGTCCTAAACTGGCGGCACCCTGGTACATTTGGTGGATGAATCAACAAAGATGAACCTCTCTCCCACCATCAGTTCAGGTATCCATTCCTCTGGTGGGGATGTTGCAATTCCCTTGGGACATCAGGCCAGTGGGAAGGGGTGATGCCTGGCTTGAGGTCTTCGCTCCCAGCCAGGGCAAGATGCCTCAGCCCCACAGCTGACAGGAGGACATGGACAGCCAATGGGCTGCTCTGGAAGTCATGGGCTGGGTCCCCCAGGCTCCTGTGAAGGTCTGCATGTACCCCATGAGTACCCCGGTTTTGGAGAGAGTGGCATTAAATAGAAATTTAAAACACCATGATAGGCTGAGAGATTGTGGAAGAAAGCAAAAAGTTTTATATTTTAGTAATTTTAATGGCATGTTTTAATGCCATTACATTAATGGCTCTACATTTTAATCTTGCACTGGGACCTGCAAATTATGTCCTATAAAGTTGTACATGTAAAAAAATTATTGAGGCGTACACAAGATTTGTGTATGTACTTTGTACCTAAATAACAATTTACTTTGTGTATGCATATCTGTATTTAAGCTAAACAAAAATATTTTTAATGGGTATACGTTAAAATGAATTAGGAAAGGAACAGTAGGAAAAAAGAACTTCCATACTGAAACTAAGAAAAACAAATGAATGAATGAGGAAAAAAGAAAAAGGTCTTTTCAGTAAAATGGCAACTAAGCAATATAGAAGGAATGATGGAGTTATAAAATCACCATTTTGCAGTCATAATAATAATAATGAATCAGATAAGTATATCATGCGAAGCGAAAACCATCAATGGGTGAAGAATCGTCGGGGAAAGTGTATCTTTCCAATCTCAGCGCATCTACCCACATATTACTTATCAATAACAAAGGAAAAAGGATAACTTTATAGAGAATAAATCTGGCAGACACCATCTTAACCAAATGATCAAAATTAACATCACCAGGTTGCGTGGCAAACTGACACCTGTGCCTCCTGATATGATGTACTGAGAAGGACACAGAATCACTTAGGTGGTTTTCCCACCCAAAATTCATATCCTGAATCTAATAATGAGGACAAAATACAAGACCTAAGCCAAGGGACAGTCTGTAGAACAACTGACCAGTACTCTTCAAAAATGTCAACGTCATGAAAGACAAAAGAAGAAAAGTTGAAAGAACTGTTCTAGATAAAAGGAGACTAAAAATAATTGACAAGGACGTTCCTGGGACAATTTGCAACATATGAATATTGACTCTATATTAGCTGGTAACATTGTATTAATTTTAAATTTCATGAGTTTTGAAACTGTACTGTGGGTATGTAAAAGAATGTTCTTTTTCTTGGGGGTTACATGCTGAAGTATTTGGGAGTGTATAATTATGTCTGCAAATTATCTTCAAACGGTTCTGCCAAAAAAAAAAAGTAACAATTATGACACTCGGAGTGCATGTGTACATATACATTGAGAGAGAAGGAAAATGTGGCAGATGCCACAGTTGGTGAATGTAGGTGATGGTATAATTTCATTGTTGTATTAGTTTTCATTACTGCTGTAATGAATTACCACAAACTGAGTGGCTTAAAACAACACGAATTTATTATCTTACAGTTCTATGTAGGTCATATGTCTAATGCACGTGTCACTATGCTAAAATCAAGGTGTCGGCAAAGCGCCATTCCTTTCTGGAGGCTCTAGGGATGAAGCCAGTTTCTTGCCTTTTCCAGCCGCTAGAGGCCGCCCACTTCCTTGGCTCGTGGTCAGTCCCTTCCTCCATCTTCAAGGCCATAAATGCCGGGTTTAGTCTTTCTCACATCATATTACTCTGATACTGACTCTCCTTCTACCTACCTCTTCCACTTTTAAGGTCCCTTATAATTATATTAGGTCTACCCAATAAATAATCCAGGATAATCTATTTTCAGGTCAGCTGATTAGCAACCTTAATTCCATCTGCAACCTTAATTCCCTTTGACATATAGCATATTCATAGGTTCTGGGCATTGGAACATGGACATATTTTGATGGGGGGGAGGTTTTATTCTGCCTACCACAGTTGTATTACTTCTTGTACCTTTTCTTTGGGTTTAATTGTTTCAGAATAGAAATCTAAAGAATTTAACGTAGAAAACCCTGTTTTCTGTTAATGTAGAAAACCCTGAGAACTCTACCAAAAAAGCTACTAGAGTGAATAAATGAGTTTAGCAAGCTCATAAGA